CATCCTGGGGGTTCATTCCGGTCTCTTAAAACTTTGAGAATTTAATTTAAGGATTTAGCTTCGACTTGGAGATGAATTCCTGCTACCATTTCTCAAAGATTCGACTCCACAGAACCTCATACTCGACGCTACTTGATTTAACATTACCACTACCATACTGTGGGTTCCTAGAATTTGTAATTTTGAGAAATAAAGACAACTTGCACCCCTGTCTTGGCGACATTTGTAATTGACGAAGGATGTCGTAAGATTAGTTCCCCTCAACAAGTATACTCAAATGCTGCGGAATCAAATTATTTGTAGGCTAACATGACACGAGATTGGGAATCATCAAATACAAAGTCACGGATATCGAACACAGTGGTACATTTACTAGACTTAAAAGAAAGGGATTTAACCAGTCAGACAAGGTCAGACATGGGCAGCCTTTCACCACAGACAATTGTGAGAGTGTAGAAAGATATAGGCTCTGCAACTTCGCGTTGAAAATTACCTTGATAAACATTGCGCTCGTATGAATTCCCGTGTGCAAACGAGCAGAGTCAACGGTAAAAGCTTGAGGGATAAATAGTCTGGCAAGCAGCGCATGCTTGAAATTAGATGTTCATTTTTAAGACTACTCTTCAAATAGTTACCCTTTCGTTGCAATACTCTTCTATCGATGATACAGTCTACCCAGAATATTAGTGACGCCACGCTGTTTATATCTTCTCTCTATCATGTTTTCTGTCCTGATTTGATACAAGTTCTGCACTATCCGAGCCATTGAATATGTGCCCAATGTAAGATGGAGGCATTTTTGCATTTTCTCATCGAGTTCTCCGAGTCGACTCAATCTAGCGTGAGTTGTAACTTTGCTATTTTCAGCAGATTGAGCAGTTTCGGACACTCGCGTGTGTGCAGTAGAGTTGTAGATATCATTTCCTTCGTCGGCCTGAAGTGATGTTGGTGCTACTTCTTGGGGCGCGGTATCTGTGCTTTGTAGTCAGCATTGCTGTGCCTAACATCAATAATGCTAGTGGTATATGCTCGTTAGTCTTTAGCTCTGAAGGATAAATATGACAGCAAGTGAATGCTTTATGCTCGTTATTTATCCCGAGGTGAAGGTTCTGAAATCATTTTCATGGGGACGAAGCATGAGATTGTGCATGTCCTGGCTTTGTAACAGTTGTCATTTGTCATGATGCTGATCTTGGAGTTAGAATTAACTATATCACGCATCAGTGGTGTAGATAGATCTCTGATTCGAAATATATGCTTAGACAGCTTAATTTCCAATGATTGTGTTGTGATGAATAGGCCAATTCCCCTCAGATAGGTCAGCTTGTCATTCTTTACTTTACATACCAGCACTCATAATCTCACAAACACTGGGATTTAGGCGTATTATGCATGCAAAGGTACTTGTAGAGATGAACAAACAGTTTTCCAAATACACTCTCTTCCACAAAGAATGACAATGCCATAGATCACCACATTGAATATTTCAGTGTCAAAGACCGAACATGTGAAACAGATACATTAACACTCAATCCTTTAAAACCTGAGAAGATACCATAGTTATCCTGACTTTGCTCGATCAGTAGGTATAGCTAGCTTAAGATACTCGGAAAGATAGTTTAGAGTCTCTACTTTCCTCTCTACAAGAAACCATTTTAAACCTCTAGTATGAGAAGAAGACGCTCCAAAACTCCTGAAGGTAGTTTAATTGTTGAATTAATGGCTGAAAAATACTCGATAAGAGCTCTTTGAGTTTCAGGAATGTGCTGAACCTTATGTATGCTGAAACCCCCTTTGGTATTTGCAAGTGTTGGATGAAATTACCATGTCTACTTTGATCACAATAGTTGAAATTCTCACGAAACACGATGGAATTCGTCTAATTCCGGATAGTTCCTTGAGCCATGAACCCTTTACTTCCTTTCAATATCCATTAATATATCCCAGAATTCCATATCCTACTCAGGTTGTAACTATTCCAATCCTCTCGAAATCCGACGAGATTCGTTCAAAACATATAAATATCTAGAGAATAGACCTCTCGAGCTCTTCCAATATTAGAACTGCACATCAAAACCAACATTTATGGCCAAATTCTGTATAACTCCTGACTATTCAGTATTCGACGAGATATATTCAGGATCCTAAAAGCTAGTAATATGGTACTATTCGAATCCTTTCAATGTCTAAAAGTACATCTCAAATATCCAACTTCTAGTTCAATACAAAGTACTTCCTGAGAGTATCTCACCTGACGAGACAGTTTAAAACTCCACAACCTCTTAAGCAAGAACAGTTTTCTCCTCAAAACAGCTATTCAATTGCCTCCAAAATCAAGAATTCAACTTTAAAAACTCTCCTAGATATCTCAACAAGAGATGAGAGACTGCATAGTCCAGATTCAGATACCACATAAACATCAAAACAAACATCAGACAATAACCAACTAAGATTCACCCACACACTAACCTTTTTGTACTAAAATACCGCACTAAAATTTCCAAGCTAATTCCCCCTCGAGGGTAGTTTCGCTTAAAAACTAGCATAACAATCAAAATTGCCTCCATCCATTTTCAATTCCAAACAACCACCTCCCTCTATCCACCCCAGCCCCACCTAAACAAATAATTCTCTTTCATCAGCCCCTTCTTCAATAAACAATTCATCATGGCAAAGACAAATACCACGGTCAAGAAATACAAGACCAGAGCCGCAAAGCGCCGAGCCAAGTGTCGCGCAAATAATCTTCCCCTCCCACCTCCCAGAACCGTTTTCCTAGCTCCAAGAGCCATGGTTTGGCTCACCGCCAAGGAGAAGCGCGCTTACACCAAGACGTATAAGTGTAAGTATTCCTTCCATGTTTCCTTAGCCAGGTATGCAAGACTCAAAAACTAACGTATAAGGATTCATATAGGGACCATGGCCATGCAAAGCTTCAAAGTCGTCGTCATTGGCCAACAGTTCTCAAAGAATACGCCCAGTTCCCATTAGCTCATTTGGATCGCAAGTTGTACAAGAACTACGGCTCGATCAGAGATAAACTCTCGGTTTCTCGAGACCAACTGGATGATATGGAGGGAGAGCAAGATCATCGTCGTGCTGCTATGTTGGCTAGGGTATGTTTAATTGGCGCTGATACTAAAGAGACCTTGGCTAACAGTCAACTAGCGCGCTGCCAATAAGGCAAATCGCAAATAAGAGGAACCAGTTTCGCAACTTGCTGCTTTGGGTATGTACACTTACTAGTAAATTTGGTGAGGAAAGACATCTAACGAGCAGACTAGGACTAGACATGCGACATGCGACAAATGCGGCAAACGAACCGGTACGACCTTTTATGATGGCATGATTAAATGGATGGACGGGTATTTTCTGGGCCTGGCCTACTTAGGTACTTTATTGTGATTTTGCGGGAGTTCTGGCGCGTGGATACCCCATATAATAGTAAAATATAACACAATACATCCTGAAAACAAGCTTTACAAATGAAGACATGAGATTCTTAATACATACCACGAACTAGTGCTCATGACACTAAATTCTTTTCTTCACTCTCCAAGACCCCGTCCTCTACATTCTCTGCATTCCCTCTCTGTTCAACTTCTCCTTACCCTCGACCCCATTATCTTATACAGCACCCTCAATTCCATTACCTTTAACAGTTACATCCTTCTTATCAGCATGCAGCATAGGAATCGCAATCTGATATTTCCCCTGCATATAACACAAACCCCTCCACTCCTTCTTCCTTCCCTTCACTTTATCCGCTTTCTCCCCAAACCCAATTCTCATCACCTTTCCAAAAACCAACGTATGATCCCCTACATCAATAAATCCACTCGTTTCATGATTCCGCAGAATCTCACATTGAAACGTCTGTCTTATACCTCTCGTGGTTACATCTGCAATGGCGCCCGGTGAATACACCAACTTGCGATCTTCCGGGAGCATGGGTCCACCGCGAGAGAAGTGATTGGCAAGTTGAGCACCTGATGTGTTGCATTCTAAAATGTGGATGTGAAACCATCTATCGGGTTCATCTTTAGCGGATGATGATGCTGACCCGACGGGGTATAATGCTTTTAGCGCATCGAGTGTTCGGGAAGGACGCTTGATGTTAAATGTGACGATAGGTTCTGGTGAGAGGGTAAGGGTAGTAAAAGAGGATAAAGTCATAGCTGCTGCTGCTATTGAAGGTTCTCCAGACTTCGGATGAAGATTTGGAGTGGTGAGGATTACGACGGAATGTGGTACATGGCGCATTACTTGACGAACATCTAAAGCGAGTTGATTGAGTTCGGGGGACTTATTGGGGGCTTCTAATGGGGTATCTATAGGTGTATTTGTTGATTTAATGGCGCTGGTTGAGTCTGAAGAAGAAGAATTGGACAAGTTGCTGCTTTTTCTTGATTGCTGCTGAATACATTTTGAAAATGCATTGTGTCGAGAAGAATGAGTGTGATCTAGAGATTCAAAATTAATATCAGTAAAGTAAATACACAAGAAATTACAGCCAAAATGAGAGAATACTATACATTTCCTAGAAGTCTTTTCCAGTGAACTCCATCTCCAGAATAATTCATGAAAACCTCCCACAACAGAACTTTGATTTGTATAAAGCAAACTCCGTGAATTCCTAGTAGATATCATCTTTCCCAAATACTACAAAACTGCAGCTCTCCCTGAACCAATCGATGTAAAATTTAATTCGATTCCGTCGTCAATTGAGTCAAAAATATATTCAGACATGCAAGGCGCTGTGTATCCACACAAGGTTCCACAAGGCTGAAAATTATATTCACATCGTCATTGGTCTGTCGCGAATACCGTAGAAAAGTTCTCAGAAAACAAATCTAGATGCAAGCCTCGTCAAATGCGACGAGGAACTCAATATATTGTACGAATCCAATTAAACCTCTCGGTATCTTAAACAAAAGGTGCCTCTGCCTCTCGTCAATACTAACACGCCATATCTTCATTCGTCTAATTACGCCGAAACCATGTCACTGCCATCCCTCACCCTCCGCCGCACTTCCTCCATTACCTCCAATACCCTCCCCATAAACTCCACCCTCACTCACCAAATTCGACACGCCACTCTCCTAAAACGTCCTATTCGACCATATACTTTCACACAACTCGTTACCCTATCCGACGGCTCAACCTACCTCACTCGATCCACATCTCCAGCGCCCATTTACCGCAGCACAAAGGATACACGAAATCATCCTCTATGGCAGCCCTCTTTAGATTCATTAAGGAATGTTGAGAATGATGAAGCAGGACGTTTGAGTGCATTCAGAGAGAGGTTCGGAAGGGGATGGGATGGAGAGGTAGAGAAGGCAGATGGAGAGGAGAAATTGGCAAAGGATGCAGACAATGCGAAGGCTGACGAAGGGGTAGAGAGCAAGAAGGGAGATTCAATGGATAGTTTGATGGATTTGATTAGTGGAGGAGCTCAGAGGGATAGTGCTAGTATGAAGGGAACTGTTAGGACGAAGAGTGGAAAGGAGAAGAAATAAATGAGTGGGTTGAATTGAGGGGTGGAGTGAGGGGTCTCATTCTAATGACTGGGATGAGGACTATCTTGGTATGAAGTTGGGGCAATGTTATTCTTCCTCCAGAGCTTCAGCTATTATCAAACACATCAAGTTGGATTGTACGATGAACGAGAGAACATCCCTCATCTTGCCATGTACACATGTACATATACATTGTCAAAGGAGGTAAAAGAAATGCATAGAGATCAGGATTGGGCGTTCAGCATTGAAATATTATTCTATGTACAAAAATACTACAATCAGCATACCACAATCACCTCATGATTTGATAATTGTGTCACTCTCTTCATCTTTTTTTCCCACCCAATTACTTTTCAAAAACGTGATATCATTGTGTCGTTCATTAATCTTCTTCTTCAGCAGTTGCTACAGCTGCAGCTTGTGAGTCTGTAGCAGTTTCACCTGAGATTCCAGTTTCTGAAGAAGGACGTGCCGCTGGTTCTACAGGGGGCTTATAAAATAATTGTTCATCTTCTTCTGCATCAAGTTGCATAAGGAAAGTTTCCCAAAGTTCGATAAGCTTAGGAATATTAGCAAGATGTCTCTGATCTCATAAATGTGATAACTTACCTCCTTTTGAGCTTCCACAGCACTTTCTAAAAATGTCTCCACGGCACTCTTAAAATCCTCAACCTTTTCACGTTCAAATCTATCAAGTTCGGATTTCATAAGACGTCCCATATCCTCAAACAATAATCTTGCTTGATGAACTTTACGTTCAGAATCGGCCACTTCTCCTTGCATTTGATTCAAACGATCTTGTTGTGATTTCCCTTGGCGTAATAACTTCTCTTGAGTAGTCTTACGCTTTTGTAAGTCACCCTCTGCTGCATGCCATGAGTGCCATGCTTTTTGACGTGAACCGAATGCTTGTTTGATACTTCCAATCAAACGAACATATTCATCAATTGTGATACCCAAAGTCAATACATCTTGTTGTGCTTGTCGATCATAAAGTTCCCTAATTCTGATTTGTAAATCCGCAAGACTTTCAAGAGGTCCGGATAATGATGTAGAGAGCTCAACAGCTGAGAGTGCTCGAAGGGAACCAGAGAAATCACCTGCAGCTTCAGCGAGACCTTTACGTTGGGTAACCACAACATCCATAGCTTTCAACAAAGCTTTAAGTTGATTCTCCAAAGCATCCAAATAGATTCGTCGCTCATGGAACCACTAATCATGTCAGCAACTTCAAACCCCTAGAAGAATCATAAACTTACATCATCATGTTCAACAAATTTTCCTCCTCCACCAACAGAAATACCAAGTCCACTAAACATGCCTTTGCTTTCACCAAGTCCTGGTTCTTTTCGTTCCTTATGTTTGACATCAACATTGAAAGCCTCACTTTCTAAAAACAATTTCAAATCCCCATCATGTTGAAGTGTTGGATGAGCAGCTGTTTTATTAAGCATTCTTTCCAATGCAGCACGCCTAGATTCAACAAAATTTGTATCAAATCTTCCTACAGCCTGTTTCTCAGGAGGTGGAGGTACAACGACACCCGGGTTGTTTGCATGTAAAGAGTTGTAAAGCCATAAAAAGTCCCTATATCTTCGAGTGACAGTAAATTCCGGTTGACGATATGCTTTAGAGGATGTCTAATTTATGATTAGTTTATGGCAACACTTCCTTGGAATTGATATATCCTACCTTTGTTTCAAACAGAGTACACAATATGAGAACTGGTCAAATCTCCAACTTTGTGTGGATCACCGACTGTAATATTGAAAGTAGGCTTGGCAGCTTGTTCGATGCTCACACTAGGTGTTGACTCTCTTCGAACCGAGCCCATTTGAGATGGTTGAACAGGAGGTGGTATGCGAGGTCCAGTACTAGATTCAACATCCTCATTCAAATCCACTGAATCCAACATACTTCGACTTATAGTAGAGCTTTGCGCTGAAGCTAATGGTTGTCGCAGATTATGTGTAACAGTTTGTTCTTTTTGAGGCGGCGCAGGAGGCTCGTCGGCTTTTGATGTTGGCGCATTGTCGCCCAATGGTCCTAATGGCCCCAAAGAATCATCCAAAGCTTGAAGTCGAACTGGTTGTGCTCCAGCGCGTCGAGGGGTTCGTATCGTACGTCCTGCATGTGTTTTGCCCTGTGAAGCTGGTGGGGCAAGGGTTTGTGATGTAGATTCGGGGGTTTCTTTATAATAAAGTTAAATTCGAATCCTACTTGAATACGATGATGACTGACCTCCTTCTGTAGCGGATTGTTCGGGTTTGGGTAAGCTTGGTGTCGATTGGGCTTGAGAAGGGACATCTGATATAGTTGTCAATATGGATCACTTCCGGAATTGTAGTTTCGGTCAGTAGAAACATACCTCCCCAAGGTGAGTCTCCCCCGTCTTCCAAATCCATGACGAAATATTATAAGTGCACTTAAAACGTTGAGTTGATAGGTAGTTGTTTGAATTCAAGATGGATATCTAATCGGCGCGCGGCACAGACAACACTCGGAATGTACCGTGGTAGGTTACAGGGATTAAAGCTGTTCAAGACAGCAACCAATACAATTGATGTAGGATAATCGCAATATTTCTTCAACAAATCTTGAGTAAAAGTGTTGGTATGATATGTACACGGTGCATCAAAGGGGTGATAATAAATATCTTGCGATCAAGGTAAAGGGTGGGAATATGGCCGGCCGGGTAAATATCGGTTAGTTTATTTCCTTTCACGCAGCTTACTGCCATCACCATATTTGAAGCAAGAGTAACGAATGCATCATTGCAGGTCCACGGGTAGGTAAGATACCCACATCTTCAAATATTCAAACTTTGAATGGCAAAAGGATCAAGTCCGATATGAATGTATCAAAGTGCCCTACAGAACATCCAACTTATAGAGTATGATTCCAACCCCAACTCCACATCTACCATTCTTTATTTCTCAACCTCATCCCTCATTTGAGTTAACGGACGTGAATTGTAATTTCCCTTATCCAAATCTTCGAGAAACTTCCTACTCTTTGCCCACAATTCTGCCTCCATATCTCTACCAACTCTTCCACTTCGACTATTCAAGAAACCAATATCAAGATTACCCATTCCTCTTTCCACAACGACATCGTCTGTTGGCATATTGCCTGCCATATTTCCTGGAACTGCTGGTCGTCTTTCTACAACTTCAGGTACTGATTTGCCCTTATTCTTCGACTTCACCTTTTCGGCGGGTATAATGTCTGCTTCTTCCAACCCCAATATTTGTCTTCGTAATCTTACATCGACGGATTGTAAAGTTTTTAGATAAGAGTTCGAGGCATCTTGGAAAGTTTGACGTTTTTCTTGTGGGGATTGTGATTCTCCAGGTTCTTGTGCTGCGGTAAGAATCTTGAGGGTTTGTCCAGCAGTTTGAACAAGTTGTAAAATACTCTACGCATGATTAGATAGTGTTATAGAATGAGTCAAAAGTGATGGATTTTACCTTGTCTATTTCATTGAGTTGCTGAATGCGCTCGGCTTTTGTAAATGGTCGGAATGCTGAGGTTTGATTTTCTTCTGGTGAGGAGGACATGATGATTGAAAGTCGGAAGTCGCAAGTCGGAAGTCGAAAGCCTTCAATGATTGTTTGTTTCTGGTATGGACTTTGAGGATGTAAGAGTTTGTATTTCGAATCATGTCATCTTACTTTGAGAATGATTATGTCGATTGATTGATCTCCAGAACCTTAACCTTAGAACCTTGGAGATGCTTTATCTGGGGTTACAGCCTTAATTATGCGGCTCTGCGGATCGGCTGCATTAGTGTCAAAACTTCACTCCAATTGTTCAATGAAGCTTGACCTTCAGTAACCTCCCACTATATACCAGGCGATCAGCCTTGAATCATAAAAATTCTTTGAATTATTCCTCTTTACTAATCCCACAAATTTCTATATAACCCGTAACCAACTATACCTCCCTACCTAAACATAAAATTGAGAGTTTGGAGTTAATTTTTTCGTCGGTTCTGGGGAGATGCTAAGTGATTGGCAGTCCTGGCGGTATCACGGTATTACCTAGGTGAGAGATCATAGAAGGAAGGAATACTCACCGGTGCGGATAGCTTGGATACCTAGGTAGGTAGGTAGCCGAGTAGAAGGTAATCTTACATACAGTACTAGGTAGCTCCAATCACACGCAGAAGGACTCTCAATCTCTCATCTCAACCTCTCAACCTCTCAATCTCTCAATCTCTCAATCTCTCAATTCTCAATAAGCATGTCTACCTCAGGACAACCAAACGGACCTCCAAGTGCTGGAATAAATACACAACAAAATTCTCAAGGTCCTCCCCAATCAGGCTCACTCATGTCTCAACAAAATTTAAATCAGATTGTAAGTTCTCCCTTCTTTCTATATGAATTCAATGGATTTCAGTAGCGTTGTCATCAATACCTATCATCAAGACCAGCAAGCTTTTATCCCCAATGCCATCGATATCATCAATTCCATCAAGTCTTTGTCCCAAAAATCTACCCAACCCCTTGTCAACAGAACAACTATGCCCTCTCAAGATACTGCTAGTGCAGAAGCAGGTGGCCACAGTACAGTTTGTCAATGTACAGTGTGAAAAACAGTATCAAGGAATTGTCACGTGGTCAGGCTAAATACCATGAACCACCTCTTGAAACGACATAATGCTTGATTGTATTTTGTTACTTCAAGAGATGAATTGATTGAAAACTTCAATAAATTCTTAATGATTCTCTGTACTGTATGCATTGGCATTGGCATCGTGCAGTGGTTTTCAAAACATGGTGTTTAATGCCTTTCATAGTTGGCCTTCCTATTGACAAACAAACATATTTATTTGGGAGAAATCTGGAGAACAAATATAAATTCACAGTTAAAGCTCTCTCAATTCAATACAGTGCTTGTTTGTACAAGGCCCGATACCTCTTTCGACTTAGCGTTCTCTTCCCCTGTTTCCCCTCCTCTCATCTTCATCTCGAAAGCAGCAAGCTTTTTAATCAAAACCTTGTCATTCACTTCCACAAAATAAATCCCATACCAAAACTTCTTGCAATATTTATTGCTCTTCCAAAAAGATCTTTCAACCTTATTACATAGCCCTGTCACAAAATCTTGCAGCAAATTGTTGTCATCATGTCTAGACCACCTGGGCAAACCCCACCACGTCCTTCCCTTTCACGTCCTTCCCTTTCAAACTCGTTACCAACGGGTACTCCACGTCCTAGAACCATTCAGACCCAAGGTGCAGTGCCTTCTGGTTCTTCAAACAATGGTATTCCAAGACCTGGTGCTCCTCGTCCCCCAATTCCACCATATCCTGGTGTTCAACCTCCATCATATCTCCCAAATTCTTCAAACCCTCCTCGCTCTTATGGCTCTCCTTATTCCTGTCTTTCTTCAACTTCATCAACTACTCGTCCTTTTACCGCAGAAAATCCCTATTATCCTACGGATGAGGCTGCTGACAAGCATCGACAAGCAAAGGTATCGAGTACCTCGTCAAAAAAGGTTACAACCGAACTGAACAGATGCTACGATCTGAATCTTCCAACCTTGATAGAGATGGAAAACCTATTCAAGAACGTGCCGAGGACCTTGGTACAGCAAAATATGCAAAAGGTTTCCGATTATTGAGTAATTGGATCGAATCTAACTTGGATATCTACAAGGTAAGCAAGAATCCTTTCAACGTGAAGAGTCAACATGTCTAATATCTTTTGCAACAGTTTGAGTTACGCAGACTCCTTTGGCCTGTTTTTGTTTACTCCTTTATTGAGCTCATCACAAATAATTATACAACTGATGGAAAGGCCTTTTTGAATGAATTCAAAGATCAATTCCAACAAGTCCACGCCGATGAACTCACTACATTTGATACAATCAGTTTACCACAACAAATCAACGATAATACTATCACCAAGCTTTATCTATCCTCAAAATATCGAATCCCTCTCAACACCCATGTTTACTTCAACCTCATAACTCACCTCGAATCGAATAGCAAACAAGGAGGATCTGTCATTATTTATTTGCTACAGACCTACTGCGAAATTCGTGAAACAGAGCGAGGACCCATTGATCAATTTAGTTTCGAAGCTATCATCAATCAAGCACATGGTGTTGAACCGGAAGAGTCTGACCTTCAAGAAGGAATCCCTGGAGCTTTTACCGGAGTTACGAACAAAGATATCCAAGATAATAATGCCAAGCTACTTTTGGGACCGATGGCAATGGAAGAAGAATTGGCTTCAGATGTTCGCGCAGATCTTGATGAGGAAGATAGTAAGAACCCGCCTGAGCTCGGTAAACCATCCTTGATAGAATTGTTTGATCAAAGTATCAAGCGTGAGGAAGGTGTTGAAGGACCTAACCGCAACGACATCCCATACCCTCCTTCTCGTGCTCGGGATGTCACCATGGAGGTTCAAAAGATCAAAGAACATCGAGATAGATTCAAGATTGAAAGCCGTAATGGTGGGGTTGGTCCTGCAGTCTCTATTTGCATGTTTACTTTCCACAATACTCTTGATACGTAAGTTATTTTCCACCAGTCTTCTGCCAGAATACTAACTTGTGGCTAGGATCAATTGTATCGAATTTTCCGATGATAATAATTTGGTTGCTGTTGGAACGGAAGAATCTTACATTCGTGTTTGGCATTTACATGGCGAACCATTGCCTAGTGAAACCCCACCAGGTCCAAATGATCCGCCACCATCGAACTCTCGTCGTCTAATCGGTCATTCCGCACCTGTATATGCCGTATCGTTCTCTCCTTCGATTCGAGGTGCAGATGAAAGTGATACAGCTACTGCTCCCAAATTACTTCTCTCATCTTCCTCGGATCGAACAATTCGTCTTTGGTCCCTTGAAGCATGGGCCTGCCTTGTCATATACAAAGGTCATGAAGGTCCGGTATGGAATGTAAAGTGGGGACCATTCGGTCATTACTTTTTGACTTGCGGTCATGATCGATCTGTTCGTATTTGGGGACAAGATCATATTTCATACCTTCGAATGTTTATTGGTCATGACTCCAATGTCAATCAAATCGCTTGGCATCCAAATGGAGCATATGTTTTCTCGGCAAGTGATCAAGCTGATAAGACTGTTCGCATGTGGTCTTTTACAACTGGTGATTGTGTTCGTGTCTTCACTGGTCATACCGACACCATTAGTGCTCTTCAATGCGCTCCTAATGGAAAGATTCTAGCATCTGCAGATTGTGGTGGAAGTATCATTCTTTGGGATCTTGCAAAGGGAACACAAATCAAACGTTGCAGAGGTCATGGAAAAGGTGGAATTTGGTCTTTATCATTCAGTGTTGAATCTACAGTTTTGTGTTCGGGTGGAGCTGATGGTACTGTTCGTCTATGGGATATCGAAGTTCCTTCTGATCCATACAAGAACACTGATGGTGAAATCATCGGTACTGGTGGACAAGCTGATGCAACTCGTGTTACGGGTGCCATTACCGGTGCTCAAGCTAATCCTACTACTGGTTCTTCCAAGAAGAAGGGTAAGGAAACAATGATTACTCCAGATCAGATTGTTGCGTTCCCTACCAAGAGATCACCAGTTTACAAAGTCATGTTTACAAGAATGAATTTGGTCATGGCTGGAGGATGTTATTTACCTTGAGGATATTGGGGAGACGGTTATTCGTAGAGGCTTAGATCATTTCGATTGCGAGATGCACGATTTACGATAAAAGTTTCTATCAAATTGTAATTGAGATTTCATTCGAGATTACTTTTGATGAAAGGGAGTGCAGTGGAAGTGGATTGATACAGAAAATGGCGTAAGATACCAGGATTTATGGTAATAGTCATTAGTTATGTTTCTAAATCGTTGATTTTTCCTCAGAAATTTATGCACATGATTTGATCTGTGATTTGCTGCTTGTATGTGTTACGATTTATGACTTCAGACTTCATAATTAAAGACTCAAGGAGTACATGCTAGTGTTCTTTCTTTTCCCGTTTTCATTTACCTTTCACTATGAATCATGTCATACATTACGGTCTCATACAATTCTCAACATGTACACTGAATCGATCAAAGGCATAGGATTCTCTGAGTCGGGATGAAGTATCCTTATTTTCACAGCGTAGTATTATGCATGCTAACGAAAACAAGATGCAGACATTGTCCGCGTTGGTGAGTAGTTGGCCAGAGATGAAACGCGAGTCTTGGTTATGGAAATATTCAATATAGTTGAATAGATAGATTTGCTATGATCTAATTAATAAATATTTCCTCCTCTCTCCTCTCCTCTCCTCTCATCACATATCATCGCATCATATCGCATTCCCCAGGAATCAAATTCACACCTCGTGATTCCAACAACTCCCCATCAAACCGTCTAGCAACCTAGAAGTCTAAGAGTTCAACGTCCCTCCCCATCTCCATCTCCATCTTCACATCAACACCCACATCCTCTACTCCCCATCTCCATCTCCACATCCATATCCCCGCTCATCTCCTTCTCCATCTCCTCAAACAACCCATCAATCTCCTCGATCCCTACACTCGAAAAATCCCAACCTTTTTCTTCCGCTGTCAGAGGAGGATTCATGTACATTCCTTCCCAGGAGGTCTGGAAGGGGCTTGTGTTGATTTCTGTGTCTACGTTCATGTTTATATCCATATCCATGTGTGAATCCAGGTGCGAATCCGTATTCATGTACATATCATCGGATAAAAGAACCTCATCTCCAGCGACTTGATTTCCCAATCCCGAGGGTAGTTCCAGTTCCGCTTCTGAACCCGATAGCATCAGATTTCCCCGATATAGAGAAGCCGTGGTAGCATTGGCATTGGGTATCAACCCCATGATATTTGAAGTAGCTTCTAGCGTTGAATTCTCCAATCCCGGATCTAATGCCAGTGCCGGTCCTGGTTCGGTTTCTGAAACCCATGGCATCAGATCTCCTAGATATGGCGAACCCAGACCAGCAGTAAAGTCGGGTATCAACCCCATGATATTTGGAGTTGTGTCTAGCGTTGAACTATACATTGGAATAGATTGTGGAGTTGCATTCGCATTTGCATCAGCGTCTACAATCCCATCTCCATCTCCAGCGAGTGGATTTTCCAATCCCGAGGCTGGTACTGCTTCGACTTCTGACATCCATGGCATCGGATCCAGATCTCCTAGATGTGGAGAAGCCGGAGCAGCATTGATGTTGGGTATGAAAACCATATCTGGAGTTGCATCTAGCGTTAGACTACGCATTGGAATGGATTGTGGAGTTGTGTTCGCACCGTTATCTTCATTACGATCCACATCTTCGTCAACATCCACATCTCCAACTTCATCTCCATCAATATCATCATCAACATACACATCTCCATCTCCATCTTCATCAATATCATCATCCTCATCAACATACACATCTCCGTCTCCGTCAGTATCATCAACATCCTCATCAATATCTCCATCAGTATCATCATCATCATCCGAGTCTGAAATCTCAATAATCATTCTCCCCGCAGTAACCGGAGCCAAAGCCTCCGCATCCTTCTTCGAAGTCGCAATCTTGGAGCTTCTCTCTCCATTCAACCCTGAGTTCCGGGTTAACTTTGCATTTGGAATTGATTTTTTGTTCTCCGGGCTAGATCTGGGTTGTGCATTTCTTCCAGCCGAGCTTGTATTTGCCTTCTGCTTCAGAATCGGAGTTGGATTCGTTGTAGACTCAGTATCTTTCTTCGAATTCGTGGGGTTAGAACTTCTCTTCCTATTTCGCTTTGTAAGCCAGATCTTCTTACTTGGCTTTATATGCCAGATCACCAATGGTTTTGGATATGTTGGTTTTGGAATTGGTTTTTGGGTCTCCGGGGTAGATTTGGTAACCAAGCTTGCATTTGTCTTTGGCTTTGGGGTCGGAGTAGAATTCGACATGGACTCTGCATCGTTTCTCGAATTGCGGATCGCTGAGCTTGTAAATGCATTTGATTTCGAGTTTCGGGTTGTCTTCGCATTGGCATTGGAATTTGATCTTGTGGTGTCCAGGCTAGGTGTGGGTTTCGCAGTTCTTCCAACTGGGGTTGTCGTCATCTTTGACTTTTGCTCCGTCTTCAACTTCTGCTTCTGCTTCTGCTGTACACTCTGTGCAGACTTCGCCGCTGCTTTTGTCTTCGGCATTGTGAAGTAGGTATTTACTCTTCAACGAACTTTCTGATTTGTGGTTTGTGATTCGTCGTTTTTGGTTTACGATTTGTGATTTGTGATTTGTGATTCTGATATCCAGATGAATGTCGAGCAAATGGGAAGGTGAGTCGGCCAATGGAATCTAAAGAGTTTATATAGATGCATGATGGAGGAGGATATACATGTCTATCATACGGTGATAGTTCATACTGCTCTGTTTCTCACCGTATTCGTTCATCCACCTCGCCGTAAACATCAAAATCACATCACCGTACACAACCACACTCATACTCATACCCATACTCACAGCTAGCTCATAACCGTACTCTTCTCATAAATAATCGTATAACACATCCATTCCCTTTCCATTTCCAATTCAGCCATCCCCTCATCACCGTACAAATCCACATAACAGCCTCCTGCTACAGCACAACACGCAATCTCAGCCGTATCCTCGCAGCCCTCCGCGCAAACTCAAAACTTCCTCAGAAACCCAGCAACCGAGTAAAATAGCCGTATCGTATCTATACCCGTATCGAGAAATTGCATAAGCATGGATAGCCGTATTCATTCAGTATCGAGACTCACTACCTGTGCTCCGAAAAATGGACATTCCTTCTACACGTACCATCCTCGCTTCATTCTTGCACTTCATCTATACGGATTGCACGTTTGGGTCACACCCATACAGAGCTTCTCTCTCTCTCTCTCTCTTTTGCTTCTACATCACCCTTCACTGCACAATACGCCAAAAATTCAAATCCTTCAAGATTGATCACACTCGCCAGTTACGGGACGGAAACTTCTGGGCTATTGCGTTGATTTTTCTATTCTTACGCCCACCTCAGTTTGAAATGTAGGTTTTGGAAATGGGTGGTATAGTGGGTAACTCTTCTCACTTTCATAGCACAGACATTAAGCAGATCTTTGCATCAAGAAACGTATGGTACGAGACGCAAACGCCAGACAAATTTTCGGACTCCAAGATTTACAGCTCAATCTTTTAGTCAATTCACATATTTCAAAACCATACAAGGTGATTAATCTCAATTCAAATCAATAAAACTATACTATCTACCATCGGAAGAAACATCCCACTCATCTCATTCACACACAATCATATCTTCGGAAGCTGAGTCCTGACAACTAGAGCTCCCTATTTCACTAATATGTAGGATCAAGCTATCCTTATCCCTCTATCACCCACCAAATTGACCCAAGATGTCAACCACAATTATGAATCATAAACATCTCCACCAAAATTAGAAGCAATTTAAACCATAATATTCCTTCTCATATACTTCAGCCTAGCCCATCGATCAATCAAATCAGATTCTGGAGTAATATCCACCATAATTCCCATTTCCACTTCCGCTTCCTCCTGTTGGAGTTCCAGATCCACTGCTTCCTCCACTTCCACTTCCACTTCCACCATTTGGAAGTCCAACACTAATGGTAGCACCTGGTGCACTTGAGCTTGCAGCACCATTGGCACTAGATCCACTTGGCACAGAACCAGAACCAGTGGGAGCTGCAGGGAAATCACCACCTTGACAGATTGCTGTAAGAGAGGTTTGAAGACCTATCGTGATATATTAGTCCGTTTTCTCAATGGTAAATTCATGGCAATGAATGGGGAAAAAAGACGGGGTATAACTTACTGGTAACGATAGAAGTAGCAACAATTGTTGTTGTTCCAGTACTTTGACTCGTCTTCAACACTGTAGTTGGAATGGTAACCGTCGAGTAAATGACTTGCACATAATTTGTGGAAATTGTTTCAACGACTGGAACAGTAAAATGTGAGATGGTAGTTGTTATCTGAGGAACAGTAGAAGCAATCACAAGTGAATACGTCGACAAATCCTTAGCCGGACAACCACTCGATGCAGGATCAGAAGTAGCAATTGGTCCACCAGGCTGTGTTATAGAAATAGTAGCACCAGGAAGTGAAGCAGTGACTGCATCTGAAGTTCCAACACCAACTGAAATACCACCGGTTGGAATAGGTACTGAAACAGATATGCCAGGTCCACTTCCACTGCTTCCACTTGCACCACCACCATTATATCCCACACTCGATCCTGAGCCACCACCAACAGCTGGAAGAGTAGCAGAAATAATAGGAATAGTAGCAGAAGCCGATGCGCCGCCACCAATCGAAACACCTCCACCACCGATAGGGATTGTAGCAGAAACAACCGGACCTCCTCCACCCAGAGGCAAAGTAGCCGAAACCTGCGGGACAGGTGTAGGATAATTATGACTTGTCGGCAAAATTGGCACACTTGGAGCAGGCAAAGCTGGGATACTTGCAACTGGAGCAGTTCCTCCACCACCACCTAGTCCACCAAGACCACCAAGGAGACCACCTAAAAGACCACCTAGTCCAAGTGGATCACTACTACCAGTACTACCACCAGCAGCAGGAACTGATGGGACGGCTGGGGCAGGAAGAGAAGGAACAGAGACGGAGGGTGGAGAGTAGTAAGGTGAATGATTATCATTTGCTACGTCTGGGATAGGTGCAGGTGCAGGTGCTCCGTAGAGAGTGGGGAGGAGAGAGATTGTTAGAAGGAGCTTGTGGTGCATTGTTGCGGTTGAATATGTGTGAGATGGTTTGTTGATTATAAGTTTGAGAGGTGAGAGAGTGATCACTTGAGAAAGTAGATTGGAATGGATTGAGTTGAATTGAATTGAGAGTGTGTGATAGATTGAAATTCAAATGAATTGTAAACAGCGAATGGATTGTATTGCAAGGTATTGTACTTAAAGCAAAGCTCGTAGCAAAAGAAGTGAAAGCTCAATGTGTATGTGATGAAGAGAGAAACAAAATTCAAGTCCTCTAATCAGGGAATTCCGTACATTTATACCCTCTCCTCATTTCTTCAACTTTCCTTTTGCCATCCATCAAGGTACATATTGTTTAACCAGATCGTGCAACTTCCCCTCTCGTACCTTCCTTGACTGCACATCAAACCTACCTAGCAAAGATTCCTGCCACACACAACTGACTTCCATTTGGGCAAGATTCAACTAACCGCGCCGTTCCGAAAGTCAATTGACGGACGTCCTTTTCGATTTTCTCTATTCGATTCGATATTATACAATGCAGTTAGGAACTACCCTCATCGTCCTATACTATCCCTTCTTTAGTTTTCGGGATGACGAACTCCCATGACCATAATGTATCCCCATCTCTCAATTCTGGCTTCGATAAACGAGATCCTTATTACTAAACTGCTGTTACCCATTCACAAAACAATGCCCTAATGCTTCCTATTCGTCGATTCTATAGATCCCATACATCTTTACTATCGTTGTGCACTTTTCAACTATGAGTTACAACGGAAAATTCATTATCTGGTCCCTCCTATTCGTTCATATTAATCATCTCGTCCTTTCCCAATCTAAACTTACGCCCTGTTCAACCCCCTGAGACAAAGTTACAAACCAGTCTATTGGAAACAGAGATCATAATGTTCATCGATGTTCACCACATCCATCATCATATTTATCATAATACTACCCAATCCACTGGGAAAAGCAGACAATGAGCATGTTTTCAGTTCTACAAATCAAACACAGTCCCAGCAATTCTAGATGTCATGTTGTGCATATGTAACCCCTCGTGCAACTTTTCAGGAACGCCTCGAACCTTAAGACGCCATATCCGGTCCGAGTTGGTCTGCGTCCCAACACAAAAAGGATCTTTTCAGTACACTTGTACGCGATAAGGAGAAAATTCAGAATCATTAGTACATGATCGTAAGGAGAATAATAAATATATTGTCACACGAATATACCCAAGAAGAAATTTCATCGTCACTCAAAATTATATCAATTAAACACACAAAAGTACAGTAAATATTTTGTATTCTGCTATCTCTTTTCTTTTGTCTTAACGCGCAATGTTTATCACAAAGTACATTTTTAAGATTATACCTCATGTATCTATTAAGACCATGTGGAATGAAAAAAATGAGCATCAAAAGAGAAATAGGAATCAGGCTCAATGCATGACCGAAAAACCAACCATTAAACTCCACTATCCCGCAAAAACCAAGCCATTTTTTGAATTTAGTCAACCTCCTCCATAGCACTCTCAACTGGTGCATCCGAAGTTGCCTCGGTGGTAGCGGCAGCATCCTCGGTGGTCTCGGCATCTTCCTCAACGTTCAATCCGAGTGAGACAAGCTTGTGAATACGCTCGGCAAATCCAGCTGGCTCTTCGATGGTGAAACCGGAAACGAGAAGGGAAGTCTCAAACAAAAGTTGAGTGATTGACTTGACGGTACGGTCGTTCTCACCATCAGCCTCAACCTTCTTCTTCAACTCCTTAATGATAGGTGACTTTGGAGAGATTTCGAAAGTCTTCTTGGAGGACATGTATGATGACATAGAGGTATCACGGAGAGCTTGAGCCTTCATGATACGCTCCATGTTAGCGGACCAACCGAATTGACCGGTACGGATAGCACAAGGAGCGTTGACAAGCTTGTGGCTGACAACAACCTTCTCAACGTTTTCACCAAGGACGTTCTTGAGAGCCTTGGCAAGACCCTCGAATTCTTTCTCCTCTTCCTCACGAGTCTTCTTCTCCTCATCAGTCTCCTCAAGGTCGAAGTCCTTGGTGATATCAACAAGCTTCTTGCCCTCGAACTCCTTGAGTTGAGTCATGGCGTACTCATCAATGGGGTCAACCAAGAAGAGAACCTCAAAGTTCTTTGCCTTGAGGGAGTCAAGGAATGGTGACTTTTGAACAGCCTTGAGAGACTCTCCAGTGATGTAGTAGAGGTTCTTTTGGTGCTCTGGCATACGGGTAACGTAGTCAGAGAGGGAGGTAATGTCATCACCAGACTTGGTGGAGCTGAATCTGAGGAGCTTGGCAAGAGCAGCTCTGTTTTGGGAGTCCTCGTGGATACCGAGCTTGATGTTCTTGGCGAAAGCAGCATAGAACTTGTCGAATTGCTCCTTGTCCTCAGAGATCTCTTGGAAGAGCTCAAGAACCTTCTTGACGATGTTCTTCTTGATGACCTTCATGATCTTGTTTTGTTGAAGGGTTTCACGGGACAAGTTAAGTGGGAGATCCTCAGAGTCGACAACACCCTTGACAAAGCTCAACCACTCAGGAATGAGGTCAGTGGCATCATCAGTGATGAAAACACGACGAACGTAAAGCTTGATGTTGTTCTTGGTCTTCTTGGTCTCGAAAAGATCGAATGGAGCACGCTTTGGAACGAAGAGGATGGCACGGAATTCGAGTTGACCTTCAACGGAGAAGTGCTTGACAGCCAAGTGATCTTCCCAGTCGTTGGAGAGGGACTTGTAGAATGAACCGTATTCCTCAGCGGTGATGTCGGATGGGTTTCTGGTCCAGATTGGCTTTTGCTTGTTGAGCTCCTCCTCCTCAATCTTGGTCTCCTTGACCTTCTTGGTCTTTGGCTTCTTGGCCTCTTCCTCATCATCGACCTCCTCAATCTTGGCCTTCTTCTCATCATCCTCCTCCTTGGTCTCCTCAGCCTCCTCATCTGGAACTTCGGTCTCAGTCTCCTTGGAGACGTGAAGGTAGATTGGGTATGAGATAAACTCGGAGTGCTTCTTGATGACCTCCTTGATCTTGGACTCGTTCAAGTAATCCATTTGCTCATCCTTCAAGTGAAGAATGATCTTGGTACCACGGCCGAGTTGCTCACCCTCAGAGTCTTGAGTGAGAGTAAAAGTTCCTCCAGCACTGGATTCCCAAATGTATTGTTCATCATCGTTGTTTTTCGAGACGACAGTAACTCTGTCGGCGACGAGGTATGCAGAGTAGAAACCAACACCGAATTGACCAATCATAGAGATATCAGCACCTGCGGTGAGAGCCTCCATAAATTGCTTAGTACCAGATCGTGCAATCGTACCGAGGTTGTTGACGAGATCCTGAATTATTGGTTAGCAAATGATTTGGGGTCTTCGTCTACGAATGTACTTACAGCCTTGGTCATACCAATACCGGTATCACGAATGGTAAGAGTCTTGTTCTCCTTGTCTGGGATGATGTCGATGCGGAGATCCTTACCGCTGTCGAGCTTGCTGGAATCTGAGAGAGCCTCATAACGGATCTTGTCAAGAGCATCGGAACAGTTGGAAACAAGTTCTCTTAAGAAAATCTCCTTGTTTGAGTAAACTGTGTTGATGATGAGAGAGAGCAACTGAGAGATCTCAGCTTGGAACTCGAAAGTTTCGCCAGCCATATTTGTGATTGTGTATGTGAAAACGGAGAAACTGTAGGAAGAGAGTAGATTAGTATGAATTTCTTGATGAAGATGAAGTTGTACAAGCTTATTGAGCTTCTTGTGAATCTTTTGTAGAGTACAAGTAATCGTCCGAAGCTCTCTGGGGTTTCTTTCTCTTTCGAGGCTGAGCTATCCAAAGAGTTTCTTGATGGTAGATCGAGGGGTTACTTCGACACAGGAAGGTTATTGAGAGTAACTTACAGTTGATGGTATTCGTTAAGTCGTTAAGTGTATCGTATTGTAGAGTCTAATAGACAGAAAGTAGAAAGGAAGGGTATCTTTGAATGGTTTGAAGAAAAAAAGAGAAATGACTTTTCGTTGAAGGGTATTGGGGATTTTATGGAAAGGCTCGCTGTAGAAAATGGTAGAATTGTAAGGAACTTTCTAGTCGCTTAACCTTTTTTAGACTACCTAACAACGCGCCACTTCTAAATCAACCAATCAATGAAGGAGAAAACATGACAAGGCAATACAAACGATGTGATGTATATGGAACTTTTTAGAATTATATAGCTAGGTAGCTGTTAGTTCTTTTTCAATTGAATGCAAACAGTCAATACATAATCAAAATGTCTCTCTCCTTACTAGTTAGGTATGGATGTATTAGTAATCTTACTAACATCCTCTGAAGAGAGATAAAATTCACATGACTTCACATTTCCCTATTGTTTTTATCAATCAAACACTCAAATTCTATGGATTTCTTCTTTCCCCTCTAGAATCTCATTTTGGTTTATCGGAGTGGCTCATCTTATCAGCGGGGAAAAACTTGGACCGATATCTGTACTGTGCTTCACAATTGAGGCTGGTGAATGAGGCTCGTATTGGTAATATCACGTGCCTCGGAAGCTTCTAGTAAGTTTGAGGGAGTCCTTGAAGTCCTTGAAGGTTCCTTTGATTTCGATTTCCATTATAATTCATAACTATCATATCGTTGTTGCATTGAATTCTTGATTCGAGATGCTTCTATTTGGCTTTAAACTGGTCAATGCAGTGTCGGTGATGAAAACGTTTGTCTTTTTGGCCCCTCCCTAAGACCTCTAGGCCATGAATAGGCTTGACAGCCACTGAAGAGAATCCAGACTGCCAGCCCTATTGAAAGCAAGCTAAGTCTTGGCAGCTCAGGTGCTTCTTTTCGTATTAGTAGATCACATCACACGCATTTACAATCTAATGGTGCATGGTTGGAGATGAAGATCTAAGGGGCGAGAGGTGACTATTTCACTATTCTCTCTCATAAGCTGACGTCTAGATTTTACATACACTAGCAGCATGGTCCGGCTTGTTGATTCTTCGGTTCCACAACAGAATATGCCATGGTCTACAGTTGCTAATTGTTCGTTGCTGAAAACACGACTTACAATCAAATTCATAAGATGATGATATTAGATTGGTTGTTTGCTTACCTGGACTCTTTCGTTGACTTGTTCATTGACAATCTCTACTCAACTGTCTACTTCTGAACTCTCAAGGTTGCCATGTGGCAGTGTATGTATCAATATCAATGTGTATTTTTCCCATGAGATCACGCAATCAATACTGTGGAAATATATTAAAACTACTTGTGAAGATAGGTTAACCTCTTTCTGTCAATAGATTTCATCCTAAGGTATGGAGTGCCCAGTTAGTTGCCGGCTACCCAACCAAAATGTAGATCTACCGATTTGTTCATTTCTGTGATGAATTCCAGAAAATGTCTGAAGGTTAGGTAGTTTAATATCAAGCTGCATAAGCGCTAGCCAGCTGGTGAAGTCCATTGGGTATGCCGACTTATCATGATGCAGGTCGGGCAAGCGGGGGTCGAATGGTCAGCAGAAGAGAGAATGATTTTCCTCTTTCCGATGAAACACACTACCTTCGTCGTCGTCACCATTATCAAAGCAGTAGAGTTCCTGAATATGTCAAATTCATATTAACAATCTCCGGATATTACCATTATCTCTCGATCATTTCTTTGACATATACAAACCGTTACAAGCTTTACACTGCGTCGTTTTATACATCATATCTATTCCTCAACGCCCGCGAATAGGATAAGCAAATCGATATCCCACGCAACGGCTGCAAGTTTCTGATATTTTCCAATCCAAAAGGTATAAGTTCATGTGTGAATATTCTGTAGTTAGTATGTATTCATGATCAAGGTAGGTAGCCAAAGATCTAATGCTAACTGATCCAAGCTAGTGAATCTTACCAGATAAAAAAATTCAATATCTTTGTCGAGACGGTCAACAGTATTCCTCAACCTCATCATAGAGGCAATATGGTCTGCTATGTATGCGATGACATGAGGATATTCCAGGAAAATGGTGATTACGACACACGTAGCAGCATCCTTAATCAAAAATACCGAGGCAAAGAATACTGGATAGAAGGTTCGATATTTGACAAATCTCACAGACTTAACGTTACTCGGACACGGTGGATAAAATCTGTTCTTGAAGCTGCTCGTGAAGGTTGTTGTCTTTGTACACTTGTGGTTCAAGCTGTAGCTGCATTGGGCAAAGGCCACTTCGAAGATTCGCCCCTCAGCGTATGCTTAAAGGTGAAAGACATTGGTGGTATCCAGAGGTATTCAATAGGACAGAGCCAGTGGGAAAGACCGTCTGTTATTGAATTATACAGGAATGCGTATGAGCCTACATCCTGTACGTTGAGGTCAAGAACAAGGATTAATTCTCCTTACGCTGACTTGCATGAATTGCAGCTGACTGTCACTTTTCTCGTACTACAGGTGGCCTTTCATTACCATTCATCACCGCTGCGCAAGAAGTTTCGAACTCCTTGCCTGAATCCTTACAAACAGCGAAAAGCTGGATTGCAAACTGTGAAACACATCGAAAATGCAATTTGGATGATATTGGCGGCCTAAAAATGCCAACACGTGTCATCGATGTTGAAACCTCAAATGTTTCAGTCAAATTGATTGAAACAAAGAAGTCAAGCGGAAGTTTTGCTGCCCTCAGCTACTGTTGGGGAGATTCAACAATTCTTGAAGACATCAAACTTACTCATTCTAAATTGTCAGTCTACAAGAAAAGAATCCCCATGGATTCCTTGCCAAAGACTTTGTTCGATGCTGTTATGATTACCAGAGAGCTGGGGATACCTTATCTATGGATCGACTCTTTGTGCATAATGCAAGACTCACTGAAAGATTGGCAAATTGAGAGTTCTCGTATGAGCGATGTATATATGTCGGCATTCTTAGTTTTAGCCGCCACGGAAGCAAGAGATCCTAACGGGGGTTTCTTTCTTGAAAATCGGACCAAGAGCCTACAATTGCCATATCTTGACGCAGATAACCGCCAACACTTTCTCTATGCACGTAGAATCCAAAACCAATTTTCTGTTCATGATGCAAATGGGCGGCTTGAATCACATGGACTGCATAATAGTGAGCTAAGGAGACGTGGGTGGGTGTTGCAAGAGCAAGTACTTGCGAGACGTACTCTGTCCTTCGCAAAGGATGAGATGCTATGGGATTGCAGGGAGTGCAGCACTTGTGAATGTCGGACAGGATTCTCAAACTTCGAATCAGAAACAAGTTTCCTTAACATATATTTTGATTTCAAGCTTCAGTCCTCGCCGATTATGGAAGCTTACAAAAATATATATTCTAATTGGTACACTATGGTCGAGGATTATAGTCACCGTTCCCTCACATATCAGACTGATAAGCTACCTGCCATATCTGGGATAGCAAAACTCTTGCATGACATGACTCAAGACGATTATTACGCCGGGTTATGGAGAAGTCAACTTCCAGACGCACTCCTCTGGACTGCAGAAAAATTCAGCGAAGATGATACAGAAAGCGAGAAGCGCCTGCCTTCTTGGAGCTGGGCTTCTATACGCAGTGGCGGTATAACATACGATCATAAAGATAAAGAATTTAAGGCTGGCCTTGAACTCGTCTCTGTGGGTACTCAAATTTCCGGCAGCAACGCTTTTGGTGGGTTATTGGAGGTAAGCTTGAGGTTAAAGCAGTTCTTATACCGATAAACGCGATAGGCTACGAGCCATATTCGATATCAGCTTACGACGCCACTGAGCCAAAGGAGAAGAAATGGACTTTGTGGAGACTTAAGATCAGAGTGAATCTAGATCCATATTATTATGATCCAAAGAAGCCCACCGAATCTGCAATTGAAGTCAAGAAGTACAAATCGCTCTTCCTCATGTTTGTTGGGAGCCTAAAATCCGAAGAGTATGCTGAGAATCCAAGTTTCTTGGCCTTAAGATATCTTCAGGAAGACGAAAGAGGGTGTTCAATATTTATGAGAGCAGGTATAGCTCTCGTTGATGATTCGTCGATGGAACTTCTCGATCGGGTTCGAGCTGGTACCAAAGAATCGATCGTTCTGATTTAGACTAGGAATACAGCAGCCTGTCGTGGGAGCGGACTTTGTGAAAGAAATTGCCTTCTCGCCGCCGGCCTTTGATTCGGAAGGTGTCCGTATTTTGATAAAATCCAAGTACATATGCAATTCACTTCATGGTCATACATTTCACTTTACATATCACTCTCATTTAGTAGGTAGGTACTCATGACTTCTACACCATTACTTTAACAGAAATATCCTGTCTAATTGTTATTGTAAGATTTGTAGCAAAACTGCAACGCAGTGAATGGGTTAATATTGTTCAAATTGAAATTAGAATTCCAAAATGATTGTTGTATCAAGCTGCACAATTTGTATCATATCACGTCATAGAGAAATGCCTATGCCGCACGTCTTTTCGAGATTGAGTACTAAAATATTCCTATTAAACACAGATGATATTGAACATGTGAATTTGATTGTTCAAAATTATTACAATTGAATACCAGTATGTCAGTCATCCAAAGTGGTGAGGTTGGTGAGGTTGGTGAGAAGTGACACCCAAAGGTCATGAGAAAGTCTAAAACAAAAAGTCTCTTTGGGGTTAATTGGTGAGCACCGGACTTGAGCGCTGCCACTCAATTATTTAGCCAAAATTGGAACCGAACCTGTCACGTGATATCAAGCAACACCCCGCCCCTCATGTAAGTTTGCTCTCTGCGTGTAACAAATCGGTTCTGTGGTGAAGCGATATCTATATTGGAATATGTAGACTCGCAAAAAATTGATGGGAGGCGATGAAACTGCATGGAATACACAAAATGGAGCAAAAGTACGAACCCGGTTCATCCAAACAACGGTCCTGCTACATCCCGTGTTTCATAGACGCACCCCTTTGAAGACCCCATGAAACATCCAACAATTATTAACCAACAAAGCCGCGAGCAAAATTTTTGATTGAAACAAACCAAGAAATGGTGCGCATATATTGGGCTGCAAAATAGTGCTCTATGGCAGGGAGGGGCTGATAATGATTATAGGGTTTATCGTTCCTCTTAGCTGTAGGTAGCCTTTGGGCGTAGAAAACAATTCACGAATTGATTAATCAGGGCAGGCATAACAATACACGGCACCTATGTTGAAACTGCTGTCGATGGGATGAAATTATATTACATGTCCATTTTGGATCGTGTTTGTACGACTTCGGAAGGTCGAAAAGGGATTTGGCTTGGAGTATTGAAATTTTTATATTAAAAAGAAGGGGAAGGATCGACGACGCGTTTATGCGATGAGATCCGTCCGTTCTTCTTCCCCATATATTTTGAAAAAGTTCCCGCATTTGAAAGCTTGATCGCGTTTCGAAGATTCTCTTTGGTAGGATAAAAAAGTAGCTTGGGAAATTAAGAGCCGCCACAACAAATGTCCGAAGTACCAATCAAGATCCAGCAACCGCGTATCGTGAAGAAACACCAAGTTTCAACTCTTCTCTGTTCTCGCTCAATCTTTGACCCTCCACATTCTCGGCACTGTTACTAGATGAGACTGTCAAGGGACTACCCAAGTATCCTGATCTATATTCAGTGTACACACTCTCTGTCGTCGACTCATCACGGGAGCATCAGTGAACCCCTGTCGCACTAGCAAACACACCAGGGTAGAACAACCTAAATTATCTCAACAACATCGAATCAAATCCTCCCCAGTGACGGGTTGCGGCTGTACCTTTCCAATACAAGCGGCGATATAGAGTATTTTGAAGCACTTGCCACTTAATAACCATATTAAGTTCCCGGGAGAGTGAAGCACTGATATACCCTTAATTGGATTCGGAAGCTTTCCTCCCCAGTCATGAGCCATCCTTCGAACAGTCCGCTTAGACAATATGGAGAGCATACCAAGGAAGCCACTCTTTGTGCTCAAGATGGTTTGTTTGAGATATGGGATGGGAGACCAGATGAAATGAAGAAGGTCGATCTTAAAGATATAAAGATCACGGGCCGCCGCCAACATGTTAATTATCATCATTTTACACCTTTTGGCAGGCCACACATTCATTTCTTCGAACCTTCTTTCTTTTCTCGACGACATAATTCCAAACTTGTGAGTTCATCTCCTTGGCATCGAATGCTAATTTCCATTCCTCTTGTTGTTTGAAGGTTTTGATTGTTTGATCATTTGGTTGTTTGATGATATGTTTGTCATGAGGTCGAGTCGTATGATTTGAATAGCTTCAGAATTTCGATTCACCCCCTCAAGGCAATCACAATTCATCCCGCTTAATCCTATTGTTCCTTTCCCGGCCACGACCACAATAATATAAAATCAGCCACCAATCCTAATCATATCACCCTCATTATCAACATTGTCTTTCAATCTTATCTTCTATATGAGATTGGGATTGGAAATCTATTATTACAACAGAGCTACTTTTACGAGTGAATGCTGGTATCAAGTCGAACCATCGTTCTTTCCCATAAAAGTGACAAGAAACAAACGAGAGACAGGATTTTATCCTTCATCTTCTACAACTGCCTCACCACCACTACACAACACCAACATAAATACTGATTGAACTTTTTACCCCTGGCAGAAACTACATTCTTTTACAGATACCACATCGACGTCGACATCCTGCAGCAGCTGGTACTACTTCACGATGGCTTCCTTCTCAATCATTTCCATTTTATTGGCTCTACGCTTCTTCTTCATCGTTTCCGGTGCTCCTACTCCTGTGCCAACTGATGCAGTGGCTACTACCGCATCAGCTTCCAGCAGTTATTGGCTTGCTTCAGTAAGTTTATTCATTCTTCCTCACCTCTCTCACTATTGGGGATCACCTCTAACTTTACCAGATTCAACGACAAGGTATTGCGCCATTTGGCGATGCTTCATATCAAGTCTTCCGAAATGTCAAGGACTTTGGTGCTGTTGGTGATGGTAAGTCAATCACTTCTCTTCTCAAATGGTGCCATACTAACACTCACATCAAGGTGTAACTGATGACACCGCTGCCATCAACTCTGCCATCTCCTCTGGTAACCGTTGTGGTAAAGGCTGTGACTCTACTACTGTTACCCCTGCTCTCGTTTACTTCCCGTAAGTCAATATACCTTGTCTAACATTACCCAGTTCAACTGGACCCTTCATTCCCTTTGTATGCCTGAGTCTTCTCGTACATTACTAACTTCACTTATAGACCTGGAACATATGCTATCTCAGCTCCTATTAAACAACAATATTTCACTCAACTTGTTGGTGATGCTGTTACTCTCCCAACAATTAAAGGTCTTGCCAACTTTGCTGGCATGGCTTTACTCGACGCAGACCCATATGATCCTGAATTTAACTGGTTCACCAATCAGTGAGTTTTAATGATGCATTTATTCTCTCAGTGTGGTCACTAATAAACTTTCAGGAACAACTTCTACCGTCAAATCAGAAACTTTGTCATCGACTTGACTGCCATGCCTGCCTCAACTGGTAGTGGTATTCATTGGCAAGTTGCTCAAGCTACATCATTACAAAACATTGTTTTCAACATGAGAACTGATGGTGGAGAAGGTAACAACCAACAAGGAATCTTCATGGATAATGGCAGTGGTGGTTTCATGGCCGACTTGACATTCAACGGTGGCAAGTATGGTGCTTTCTTGGGTAGCCAACAGTTTACTTCTCGAAACTTGACCTTTAATAACTGCCAAACGGCCATCTACCTAAACTGGGCCTGGCTCTGGACCTTCAAGGACATCAACATCAACAACTGTGGTGTGGGTCTCGATATGTCAGCTGGCGGTGCCAGTTCGCGGGCAGTAGGATCGGCCACATTGATGGACAGTACCATTGTAAACACGCCAATCGGTATTTCTACCGTTTACGATGTCACCGAAACCGGAACTAACGGAACTCTCGTTATTGATAACGTCGACTTCTCTTCCAATGTTCCAGTTGCCGTGTATGATGCCACTTCCAAGTCAACCGTCCTTGCCGGAAACGCCAAAGTCGCATCATGGGCTCAAGGAAAGGTCTACACTGGAGTTAATGCTGGTGCAGCTAGCCAAGGTGTTCAAGATGCTGTCACCAAGCCTGCAGTCCTCTTGGATTCTACTGGCAAGTTATTTGGACGCACCAAGCCACAATATGAGACTTTACCAGCCTCTTCATTTTTGAGTGTCAAGTCTAATGGAGCTAAGGGTGATGGAACTACCGATGATACTGCTGCCATTCAAGCAATCTTCGACAAGGCTACCACTGATCAAGTCGTTTACTTCGATCACGGTGCTTATGTTGTCACTGACACCATCAAGGTTCCAAAAAACATCAAGATCACTGGTGAGATCTGGCCTATGATCATGGCAAAGGGATTCAACGATCAAGCCAATCCAAAGGCCGTCTTCCAAGTTGGACAAGTTGGTGACACTGGCTCTGTGGAGATCTCCGATATTGTTTTCCAAACTATGGGTCCAGCTGCGGGCGCTATCCTTATCGAATGGAATCTCAAGGAGGCTTCTCAAGGCTCAGCAGGAATGTGGGATGTTCATACAAGAATTGGTGGTAGTGCTGGTACTCAACTTCAATCCAACACTTGCGCCAAGAATCCAAACGCAACTCACAGCAGCAACCCAGAATGTATTGGAGCCTTTATGCTTCTCCACGTTACTGAAAAGGCTTCAATCTACCTTGAGAACAACTGGTTTTGGGTTGCCGATCATGAACTTGATCTTACCGATCACACCCAAATTGATCTTTACAACGGCAGAGGAATCTTGATTGCTTCTGAAGAAGGACCTACCTGGATGTATGGTACCGCCAGTGAACATAATGTTCTTTACAACTATCAATTGGCCAACGCCTCCAATGTCTTTATGGGAGCCATCCAAACTGAAACTCCTTACTACCAATCCAATCCAGATTCTACAACACCTTTCACCACCAACTCAGTTTATGGTGATCCTTCTTTCACTGGTGGATCACTTGCCGATAAAGCATGGGGTGTTCGCATCGTTAACTCTGAGGATGTCTTTATCACTGGTGCTGGTCTCTATTCATTCTTTGATAACTACAGCCAAGATTGTTTGATGACTTCTAACTGTCAAAGCAACATGCTTTCAATTGAGGGTTCAGGCAATATTCACATCACTGGATTGTCAACCGTCGGTGTTGAAAACATGGTTACAATTGACGGACAGAGTGGCGCAGTGTTTAAAGACAACCGTAACACTTTTGCTGCTACTATTGCAATGTTCAAGGGAGCTGGTACAGGTGTTAAGTGCTAGGTTGGTCTATTTTAGATGGATATGATACGGCTTAATGAGATTACGATACATGATTACGATACCCCGCGGATCCTTCATACTTCTCCTTTTGTCATCTTTTTAATGTTCTTCTTGTGCATAGCCTTATTAGGTGGTGTACATTATTCCATAGGGCTTAGAATGCGGGCGTTTGTTTTTGTTTTTGTCTTTGGTTTTGCGGAGGAATGGAGAGATGTGGGATACATATGGGGTATATGCTGTGCATATATGGGATGAGTACACTGGAATTGCATGATTTTAGATAGCTACATAACTGAATTTGAAATACTTTGAATTTGCACTTTGGTTGCTTCTTCTGAATGTGAGGCGTGTGGGTGTGATTGCGACGAAAGTGAAAGTTTGTGTCTCTGCGTAGAATTTGAATCATCGGTAAAGTGACACCACACCTCTGGTGTTTTCCTTGTTCTGAGATCAGGCTATTAGAGATGGTGAATTCAATTTTCTTTGTTTTCTTTTCTTTTCTTTTCTTTCCCTCAACTTAATTTGTGGCAAGAAGGGGGAGGAAGATAAAAAAAACTCGGCTGGATACTGGAGAAGGGAAACATATTCTAGATGGAGTGTGCTGGTGCGGTAGGTTAAACATGGTAGATGATTGTATGCTCAGGGACTAGGAGTGCTGTTGGGCTTGGGGTAGGGGTAGGGGATTGGAAGGATAGGGGTATGTGTTTGAAAGTTGATAGTAAATAGAAAGAGGGACTACGAGAGGGAGGGGGAAAGAAAGGGAAAGGGAAGTTGCTGGAGAATTCTAGGGGAGAGAGGGCTATGGAGAGGGGTTATGAGATTGGGGGTGAGATTTGAGATATCAGTGTATGGGTATGGAGGTAACTGGGTGGGAAGGAATTGAGAAGGAAAAGTCATCACGATTATGCAAGTGCAGGTAGAATTTGATAAAACCCCCGAGAGTAAGTCAGAGATCTGAAGCTAGGTAAATACAATGTACAATAATCGGGAAAATGAGAAGGATCTGCGAATCCCAAGCACAGCAGTAAAGATTACCAGGACCCATATACTAAGCCCACTTACCTCGATCTACCCCATATTCGATCTACCAAACGCCAGGAAAAGTGGAGAAATGGTTATGATTGGAAGATTCAATAAATAAATAAAAATAGATATTTTTTCGAGGAGGCTGCGACCCCGCATGTGGGCTATGGTGAGATGTATTGAAAATAAAGTTTGTGTACTAGTGATCAGGACGCTAGATCATGACTAGAGGACTTTAGATATCTAGGTAATCGATGCTCGGCGTGTTGGAGTTGGCGTGGGGGTTTTGGAATATTGTCGAATGTCCCCATGTTTTAGATTGGAACCTTTGGGTTGTGTTTTTGAAGCAGAGGGATTGACTAGTGGGTTTGTTTTAAAGGTGTGCGTGTGATTGGTTTATGTGAATTTTTTTATTTTTTTTGAGGGAATTTTTGGGGAATGGAAGCTAAGTGCAGGATTCAATAGTTTCGAATAGGATTATACTAATTCTTGGGGTGTGGTTTGGAGTTATATGATCTGGTACGGACGGTGATGGTGGAAATGGGAAGGAGTGATGTGTGGATCATTATATGAGTGGATGTTTGTCCGATGCCGTATATCTTTTTATGGCAACAAAATTTGGGTAATAGAGTGCTTTTACTACTGTAGTGTTTGTATTTTTGGCGAAGACATTGTGCCGGAGTCTCGGGTTCTAGATATTTACGGAAGAAGGGAGTGTTAAAGGAAAGGAACAGGGGAAGAGAGGAAGTTTCAGATGCTGTTTGGTTGCACTTACTCTTTCAAGTTGAAGGGGACTAGAAATGTAACAAAATAATTCGAAAATTCCTAAAATGTGGACGGGAGATCTGCAAGTACCTGGGATAAGTGACTGATGATCTGTTCTTCGGGATTCTTACGAATAAAGACAGTGCCAGTAGTATGTATTTTAGGGTCGAATTTGACCGGATTGTGATGACGAAATTTGGGGGAATTTAAAATGGTATGTTTACTTTACTGTATTTAAATGAGAATAAAAAGCTAAATCATCTGCGTCACTCGGATTTCAATACGAGCGATATACTTATACTTCATACTACATGCATTACGTAGGAGAAATGAATATGGGAATACCTTTCATCTTAGTTGGATATATATCAGATCTGTTGAATATAATAATATTCCCAAGCTAAGCTTTCCTATTGTAGAATGTTTCTTTGAAAAACTGTTATTATTATAATTCACAGTAGGTCAGAGAATTAGTTCATTCTTAGATCTATAACTTAACTAATTTCTATTTCTATTAGAGTCGATTGGCTATTTACAATCTTCAATAACTAGTATAATTTTTATTTCTGTTTATCAAAGACCATTTCAGGGATAAATTGGAGAGAAGTGTAGTGTGCTGGGGAATTCATTTTAGTATGGTGATTATGAGGGGTAGGTATTATAGGTTCAGTGATGAAGAACTGTGATTATGTGACCTGAATAAAACAATTGCGTATATTTTACTCCAGATAGCATAACTTGGCTCCACTTTGTTGGATTAAATCTACACTGAAATGATGTACATTGCATTTTTGGCGTCTTTCGAGTCTCCAGAATCATTCGAAATAGGTGCGCTTGGAATTACAAACACTATGGCAGAATTTGACACCATGTAGAAGGCGAAAACGCTTGTGACTCCTGCATGCTTGAGCTATCTTCATATCTACTCTTCCCACTAGGCTGTTTAGTGAATGATCCCGATTTCGATATGCAAAGGCATATGAGTATTCTGCTTTGTTCTGAGCATCATATGTGGTGGGCACTCCAACAACTACCAACGGCGCCGAGTCGCGCTTAACAACCGATAGTACTCAAATAGGTTAAGCGAGGCTCTTCAAGATTCCAGAGTCTGAACTTCGGTACTATCATCTTCGATTCATGCATGGAGATCCTGCTAATGTTTTGATAACGACAGTCTGCTTGAAACTACCCCGTTGTTGCAAGCTAAAAGGTGGAGATATTTTTCATTGGTAATGGTAACCTATTGTCCAATAGCCCCTGCTGGTTCACACTAGAACATGTCGTAATACAAAATAGATCGAAGCTGAGTAGAAATCAATGTCAAGTCTAATTTCAAGCTCGAAATCATTCCAGTATGAGCCTAACTTACCCCGCTGGCTCAAAGGTTAACACTGAAATATGCAAATTTGATTGACGTAGATAGATTTTAACTTTAAGCCTAACACCAAGCTAGTCTTGACCAAATGAAAAAACTATCTGGTCCAGATGGAAATATTGTACATAAGTACTGAAATTTCCCTCCCTTGAAACCATTTCTCTTGGATCATACTCAGACAACATTTCGAGCATATATTCAACATTACAACAACATTGACAACATTTACCTTGAATATATCATCACACACTTCATTTGATATCGATAACAACGACATAAACACATATTTACTGTATATATCATCCTCTTTGTTATCAATTCTCAAACATCTCCAACAATGCCCGCAGCATTGACCCCAACGGTGACTACAACCGCCCCCCACGTTCCTCCCACCCGTATCATTGTTCGCACGAAAGAAGAGATGATACGTATCCGGAGACTCAGGAGGAACCTGGCAAATTATCCTAATGTATCAAAATATGCCCATGATAGAAGAGTTCCCGAATTCGAAGTTCCTACGCCTAGAAGAGACAACACAAATCTTGGCAAGACTCTTGGAACGACACTCTTCCACAGGGAAAATTTGATGAAACAATTGGGAGTATTTGGAATGGTAGCCAATAGTGAAGAGAGACAGCGTTTTTATGAGAATTGGGTACATTTCACAGAAGATGGGTTGCAAAAAGATGAAGAAAGCGCCTCCGAAGAGTACGGAACATCGAAATTAAAGCTTATGGTGGAAAAGAATCGAATCCAGAGAAAACTTTTTGTTCGTACCAAGGAACGGCCTACTTTTGAGAAAGAGTTGCATAAGATACGGGAGGAGGAGGAGGAGCTCGCGACAGCTTATGTAAAGGAATGCGACAAGTTACGCGCGCATCGAGTTAAGATGGAGAACGAAATGAAAAGGGTCAAATGTTTGCTCGCTGAGATGAACCAGTACCCTCAAGGAGATCTTCCTAAAATCTGGGGTAATGGTTACGCTCAAGCATCCAAAAACATTGGCCGAAGAACCAACCCAGAGGAAAGCGGCGAAATCAGTGACTTGGTTTAAATTGTATACTACAGTTTCTCAGATTGTGCAACAAGGGGTTAGAGCGTGGAATGTATTGGACCAGCAGAGCATTAGCGGCTTCTGTGAATGTCCTATTTCAGCCCCAAAAATGTAACTTTACAACAACATGGCTGATGAGAATTCTTTTCTTTGTGTGAACGTGAGAAAATCGATGTATTGTGCAAGATAACAACATTCTATATTGATAAGATCTCACTTGCCTGTATCGCAACATAGAATGGAAAGAGCTCTTCAGAAATTTGACTCATGTATATATCTAGGGCAGGCAAGGTAAGCGCGAATGACTTCATACAATATTGCAATATGTTGATGTACTTAGATTCCCTGCAGTTCTGATGTGCTTACCTCGAGAGAACTGGATGGATGTATAGTACGATAGAGGTTTTTGATAATGTTTTGCTGCGGTCAAGCGCCATGGTCCTTCGTAAAGTATGAAGTTATTCACATTGAAAAACGAGGTGAGGTTGAGAGGAGGATGGGCTTAGTCAGCGCCGTCATGCACTAGGTAATTTTAGAGAAGGTGATTTGTGTTTAACCGAATGCCATCAAGATCTGAGACATGATGTTAAGATGATGGAGATACTGTGCATTAAATTGGCGACGGAGACTCGTAGCAGAGTGCATACGATGTTGCAGAGGGAGAGCATATCCATATAGAAGTATGCAGGATCAAGGATAGTTGATCATCTTTATGCAAGAGAAATATGCTTAGCAATGAATATCTCTTTGATGGAGAGGTTTAGAAGCGTGAGAGAATGGCATGACCGGAGTATCTAAGACAATGTACAGTATGGGTCGTACATGACATGAGAGGTGTATGTAGACTTGTGATTTATCCTTTTCAACAGTACTCACGCATACAGCCAGTGAGGGAGTGGCCATTCTTCACTGTGAATTTACATGACGTTGCAACGACCAGTTTATTTGAGGACGAAAAGGAACATAATTGAGTCGCAATAACACAAGTAATGATCACAGAAAGATGTAGACTCACAGTTTTCAGCATTATTTTTGGATTTTCCAAGAAATGAAGATGTGGCAGAAAATAAAGGCGGTGAACAGCTGATTCCCAAATAACCTC